ATTTCCTTCTGGCACCGCCGGCTGTGATTGGACCAACAACTCATCACAGCTGTTCCTGGTTTGTCACTGCTTTTGGTTCGCTGTGCAGTGAAAGCTTAGTATCCAGTAGTTTGTCACTGTTCCATCATCCATCAGGGTTGAATGCGAGGCTCTGCAAGTGTTTTGTCCTGGGGTCACTGTCAGTGGGCATAAAAATGGTTTGAAGTGGAAGCACTATCTGAACATAATACACACATGCTTCCCATTTCACTTTGCTTTTCTGTGTGTTTGTTGTCTGAATGGTGACTCCTGCTTTTTTTTTGTTTTTGTTTTGTTAAATGAATTTTAATTCTTTGCATTTTAGGTGCTTCTGCAATGTTTCTTTTCTTTTGTAAATGTTATTTTTTTTGTTTTTTCGTCTGTTATTTTAAACATTAACACCCATGGGGCATATGGTCGACATTTTTTCCCCCCTCCTGTACAGCAGTATCAGAATGGGTGTTAGATAAATGTTGTGGGGCTTGGACCAATACTCCAAAAACAGAACGTCTGCTTCATATTTGACGTGCTTCTCTTTAAAAAGCCAACTTCAAGGTGAAAACTGTCACATTTAAAGGCATTTATATTGCATCAGTGTTTGCTTCCTCTTAGATGGCTACTCAGTGAGTGAATGTGGGTGTCTGCGGTACAGATGGATATATGCTTATGCAGAAATGCTTGTTTCAGGGGAAAGAATTCATCTATATCGCAGAAGTGCATCCACGGTGTAAGCTGGTCGGCGTTTGATTGTCTAAAGAGTCTCTTGGTTCAAAATACATAACATTTTTCTTTTTGGTTATGTTTTTTTCCAAAGTGGGCTAGTGACCGGTCCTTGTGATGATCTCAAAAGCAGGTCTGCTTGTTGTAGAGGGTGGACTGTGAGTGGGAGTAACTGAAAGGTTCCTCAATGTTTGTTGTTTTTTTTAGGTCAGGTGTCTCATCCCCTGTATTGCCCTAGCACAAGTAGGCCGACGGGAACACTGAGTTTTAGATGTGCTTTGAAGAGGAGCAGGTTCAAGTTTGAGCAAGGGTATCCAACAGAAGTTGGACTGTCTTTGCTAAAAGACACCAACGACACTTTTCACTGCTGTGCCAGCTGCTGAGATGCTGTCTGCTTGTGTGTTGTTACAGTGGCAGTCTTTCAAGTGGTTATGAGCGTCTTTCACTATTTTTACATTCTGGAGAGTGAAGCATGCAGTTCGTTTCATATCAGGAGGTCAGCCATTGGAGTTTGGGAGACAAGTGTTCTGTACCCACAGGGCCCCGTTCTTCGTATGTGGGTAACCAAATTATCTTTGAATGTAAATAGTCTGAAATGAGCTAGGATTTCTTTTTTTCCCCCTTTCCTCCCCCCAGTTCAGCCACGGTTCATTAAGCTCAAATCCTGAAAAGAAAAACCCAGCTTTTTTGAAGTTAGTTGGATTCAAGTTATTAGAAAAGGTTGCACCTTTCAAAGTTAAAAACACACTGCAACAAAATGAAATGTAGGTTTTAATACGCGCTTTAAAAACTGTGTCTGAACATTTTCAGCTACTACAGTAAATGTTTTTCATCTTTTATATGAATAGTTAAGAGTTGGTGCCAGTACTGAGAAATTAAACCTTATTTCCTTGCACAGCCATCAGTAAGCATCTGTGAATATTGTATTGCACAGAGAAATGTTGAGTGTTTGTGCGACATGCATCTGCACAAGCCAGTCAGCGATCATGATTCCAGCTTTCGTCACACAAAGTAAGAGCACACTTTACGATGCCAACAAGCAGCCTTCCGCTCGCATTTCAAGAACCCAGTGAGCTGGACAAAGGTCAGCTGAGCTAAACTGTAAAGTACGAAGAACGGGGACCAGGTCTTGTCATGTTATGTTTTCTCTACTGATTTGTACATTATTTGTGGTCTTTTACTACTGTATACAATAAATATAGTTTGGTACTCAGACTTGATGTCAAGTTTTTGTGTTTGACCAGCTAATCTGTTTGTTTTAAAGAACATAACTTAAAGCCCCTTTTCTGTCTCCAGAGAAGGGAGGGATGAAATTTGGGTACCCAGATGCACACAGATTGGAGCTAAGGATCCAAAAGCACAGAAAACCTGCTTTCTAATGCGCAAAAGTAACCATTAGGTGGCACCACTGGTCCATACCAATACCATGTCATGGGTTTGCTAAAGCTTTGCTTTCATAAAAACATGAAAGTAGTGGGAAAAACTGTAAACTTAGCTGAAGTGTGTTTCAGAAAATGAGGTTCTGAAGTGGTCCTCAAGCACACTTCTTCCTGTAGTAGACAAAAGATGACTAAATTTAGATAAATGAGTTATTTAAGGACACACACTGATTATTATCTAAAACTTCACCATCATCTTTATTACCCAGGTCCAAATTTAGAACGTGGCATCTCATCTGATGGTCTGTGTGAATACTTGCATTCAATATAACCGGAACAGTGATAAGATTAATCATAGCGGCCGATGAGTCAAACCAGGAATAAGGAAAATCAGGCACCGGTGGACAATCTGCATCTGCTTTTCTTCATCTAAACAGGTTCAGGGGTGTAACTGCTGTTCCTGGCAGTAAGAGAGATTGATGAATGGATAAAGGAAAATATACTGGTATGTATTTTGCATCCTTGATATTTGTGGCGTCCATAATCTTAATGTGGGTAGAAGAAGAAAGACTGTGTCATTTGCCTTGTAAATGTGCCGGATGGTTCTGAGAGATCTGACACAAGCTGACATGCCGCTGTTCCTCATGAGCACCTGGTGACCATCAAAATAAGATTAAACAGACTTGAGGAAATCAATGAATGTCGAGTTTGAGTGGCACTAAACACTCATCTGTAGGAGACTGTACACTTTCAGGTACTCCACTGTGACTGACTTTGCCCAGCCAGGTTGACATACATACAAATATGTATTAATTGCAAAAACTATCTGACCAAGCTGCTCTTAGTACTTTGTCCATTACAGTCTTTGCTTATTTTAATACTATTTTGCTAATTCAAAACATATATGTGGTTCAGCATACTATTTAACTTTACTATCTTGAAACATAATTACCTTTTCAATACTTGCAGAGCTTTCAATTAACATCCAGATGTCCTGCACATACATTAAAGTGTGATCACAACTAATATAGTAAAAGTTTAGGCTTGTATGCACTGCTTGACCAAAGCTCATGCAAGTGTTGTTGTTTTCTTTTGATTGCCTTTTAATAATAACAATAAAAAAGCCCTTTAATCAATAATTTTTCATGTGATCACATTCAGATATTGTGTCTGTCTGCTTGTCTGTGAGGGTACATGTATACATTCACAAAGTGGTGCAGCTCACCCCTCTGGCAGGTCTGTGTCATCAGATTTGTGGTTGAGCGAGGATGACTGACAGGGCGCTTAGTGATTTGCATGACTCCGGAGTTTAAAAGGAGCTGCAGGTGCAGGTTTTTCCACACTTATGAATGGATCTCTCCAAGCGCGGATGCTCTGGGACTTCCTACTCCTAACATCAATCTTAGGTTACCAGTGTGACTTTAATGATTTTCACCCGAGTTTCTTCATAGACATTTTTTTGTTTGGAGCTGGAATTCTTCGCAGGCTCAATATGAAGAGTACACGGCTTTCTGGCGTGTGTTATCATTTAGGATAGGCAAAGAAATACCTTCAGTATGGAGACATTCCTACCAACTGGAAACTGAAACAAACCGATTTTCTGCAATGTCAACGCTGATATTTATGCCATTCCTTCTCCTGGGGTTGAGAGTAACTGAGACAGCCACAGAAACATGGAGGCAATGTACAGGTATTATTCCATTTTTATTCTATTTTATCTCTTCCAGTCTCAGCTGAGTTCAGCACATGTAATGTTTAGTTAATTATTATACAGCGAATGGCTTACTGTTTCATCTAAAACCCAGGAAGCCCCTCTAGCTAAAATACTTTTTGGTAATTCCAGCTGTCTGCATCTGCCTACAGTACAGTAGGAGTGCTTCTCTGTGTGGACGTGCATGCCACTTTAACCTAAATTAACGTCCATAAACAAGTACAGACATTGGGTGTGGTTGGGATTCCACAACAATTCCGTACACATTGAAATATTAGGACGTACACAGCGCATGTTTACGTGATGTCTCATCAGTGTGGGAGTATTATTATTTTTCTGTTATCGTTGCTTAGGAAAGAGTATCTTTTTAAAAAAATAATTAGATAACAAACCCACTGAAGTCTCATAAAACCCCACCACTACCTAGGGCTGTTTCTCACACTCCAGGGTGTGGTGGTGGCAGTAGTACTGAGGCATTGAGGAATTTATTAGTTTCCTGTGGATCCTGACCTTTTTGACTCGTGTCCCTTTAAAACAAACCTCTGGTATGAAGATGCTCTACCACACGCAGCACTTAAGGTATATAGAGTAAGTAATCCTGCTGGTGCACTAATCATTTCAGCTCAAACTTTATATGCTCTTAGGTATTTTTCTTCTTCTTTTTTTTTTTTTTTTACAATAAAGCATCAAATCACACTTTTCATTGCAAAACCTAAAGTTATTAAATTATTCTAATGTACTGAAGTTGAGTGAAAGTGTGAAGTATGGTGAATAGATTACTTCTACTGCAGCCTGAGAGCGATTTTGTTTAAATCCACTTTAAAAACTTTCAGCTTTTATTCTTTTCTAACCCATCAATCATCCCAGGAATTCTGCAGTTTTACTTTTGCAACATGAGGAAGTTTAAAGTTTGGCCATAAAAGTCACTGCCATAGTCTTTATTTGCATATTTTGTTCAGGTTCGCTTCCCCTGGATCTTCTATCTTTTGTCCTTGAGAGGGACCCATCCAAACTTGTGCCGGGGGTGCACATGAAGCAGGCCGGCGGGGTGAGGGGGATTCATTTCTCAAGCCCTGATACCGCACTGAGCTTTCCCTCCTCCCAGATACTGGTGAACTGTGACCTCTTCCCCAAGGAATTCTCCATCGTTCTGACATTAAAAGTCACCGACGGTGCACCCAAGGTGAGCATCTGACTGAAACGCCTCGGTACTAATGACTGCAGGGGTGTGAAAATAGGAATATGTTGCAAGTAATAACAGTTGATTACTTAAGTAAAATAATAGATGCCACCACTCCACCCTGCTTTGCTTGAGGAGATGTTGTGTGTTACATAAATAGAAAGACTGTGTCTCTGCAAACCCAAAACACAGAATAGATTTGACAGAAATTCCTGTTACAGTCCCATATTAACCCTGACAGAAAGATGAATGCATACGCTGCTAAACTTGACACAGATGTCGGTATTGCTCATATTTACTGCCTATTGATTTATTTGCAATTAAACTTACACGCAAGTCTGTTCTTCTAGTGCAATTTAGTGTTTCAAAATGCAACATAGTTCATTACCCATCACCTAAAAAACTCCATTCTTAAGTAAAAAGCGTATGCACTTTGTTACCATCGTCCGCTACCAAATTCAGTGTGTCTGAGCTTCTTTCTTGTTTTTCCAAACAGGGGAATGAATATGTGTTTTCTCTGATGGGGCCGAAAGGACGACCAGTGGATCAGAACAAAGAGGAGAACGATGGAGGCAGCAGCTTGAAAAGCAATAAAGAGTCAAGTATCACCGGAGAAGAGCAACACAGTCAGAAGACGAGAGTCAAAAGTGATGGACGCCTCATTCTTGGACTTAAATTCTCGGGAAAGCGTCTGCACTTCCTTTATAAAGGTCACAGAGGGGTTGTAGAGCACTGGGAGTTTCGAGGCACCCAGCTGGCTGACAGCCAGTGGCACACTCTTGTTTTAGCCATTGGTAGTCATCACGTGAAGCTCACAGTGGATTGCAGCTCACCAGTGGAAATGTAAGCTCAGTTTCTCTCCCCTCTTTCTCTTCTCTGTTCTCTGTTCTCTGGGTGGATACGTCTGTTTCCCACTTTACTCTGTTCCCTCCGATTTTGCCTTGAGGCGCAGTAGATCCTTCACCACAATAAAACGGTCCTGCTCAAAATCTGCGTATGCCCTGCAGCCATATCACAGTAGCCTGACAGTGTGTGATAGATGGTTTTTTTTAGTGGAAACTCCCTCTGGCACGCTGAAAGGAGGAATATCAACACCCACACAGCACTTGTACATGTAATACAGTTCATGTCTCACACTGAGTCCTAGAATGAGAAGAACAGAGTGAACTATTTTAATTATAGAGAATTTAGTTCATTTACAGAAGAAAAACAATTTACTCCACCTATTAGAAATAATTATATATATCTTTTATGGCAAACAGCATTCCCTCCAGGCCTTTCCCTTCAGACCTCAACATTCAGGGATCCAGATTCCACATTGGTAGTCGGGGGTTGTGGAAGGGCTTGTTTTCAGTAAGATGCCTTTCTTTATTTCAGACTATAATAAGATTTGTAAAGGATATGCCATGAACTCGGAAATAATTGCCTCTTCTGTGACCACATATCCAGGGTCTAATGCGACAGCTGGTTTTGGTGCCAGGCTCAGATGCTACCCATCAGATCTGCCCCTCTTCTGACCCCCAGCTAGCAGCTCTGTCAGTACCACCACTGTTTTTAGACCTGCCAGCCACAGGAGCAGAAGATGATAGACATGTGAATACCCATGGTAATTTGCATATGCATGTATTTTTACTCAGTATAAATAAGGCATTGCATGTTTGCTTGCCTCTTTGATTGGTTTCTGGTTTTTAATATGTCAGAAACTGAAGCTAGAGTGTCTGTGGGCTTGGAGAAGTCATGCTCGGAGCAGCTACAGGGCCAGCTGTGGTTTAATCCCCTCAAAAAGGGCCTCTACCTCTGTGACAGTACAGTTTGGATCACTGTGTTAGAGGGTGAGACTCCAACTACCACTGTTTCTGTTCTTGTTTCTATGAAATAAAATCACATAAACCATTCATTTTCATTAACACAGATCGCAAAAGGCTGGACTATGTGCTGGAACATCAGGTGCTCACCACCAGCTCAGAGACCCACGACATAGAGGTATTTATCCACCATTTGCTGTGAAACTTACTTAGGTCTTATTGTCTGATACTTTTGTTTCACTTTCATTTGGGATTTCCTGTACATAAACCCACTGTGAAAAAAAATCCAATCTCCAGCTGTTCCAGGTACCTGGTATGGGTCTGATGGCTGCTATGGCCCATCGGTCGGCATCTGGCTCTGCTGTGTATCTCTGGACTAAAACAGGTTTCCAACTCTATCAGAATATCAGCACCAATGGAGCCCTGGCTTGGAGGCATTTCAGCATGGGCAATAAGGTGTGACAAGTTAGTGGAAAAATCACACTTTAACCCTACTAAAAGCTTTAAACCTATACTCTTTCTCTTTTGTTGTTTTTAATGTAGATATATCTGGTGGTGTCTAATTCTGGGGGAGACAGGCGATTTAACAAAGAGTCAGAGGCGGACTTTTCTGTGATTTACAAGTGGAGCAAAAGGAGAAAAAGATTTGTGCAGTTCCAGACTCTGCAGACTCACTGTGCCCGAGACTGGGAGGCATTTAATATAGATGGACATACATATCTTGCTGTCGCTAATCATAGACAAGGTAATATAAATATATACCTATACTACCTGTTAACTTCCACAGTTCCTGGCATGGCGTCTTTTGCTTGTTTGGCTTTTAGGTGACAAGAATCACACTATAGACAGTGTGATATACAGGTGGAACAGATTATCAAAGTCTTTTGAGGTCCACCAGATGCTCCAGACTTCAGGGGCGTACGACTGGGAGTTCTTCACTGTCGGACCTTACTATTTCCTGGTGGTCGCCAATGCTTTTGATGGCGTGACCACTTCTTTAGACTCCGTCATCTACGTTTGGGTGAATGGAAACTTCCAGGTGTTCCAGAAAATTAAGGTTTGTGATAAGAATAATGTAGCTCAAATAGACTAAAAATATTTTCCTATCAGCTGTTTGCTGCTTCGCTACAAACCCCTCAAAACTCTGAGTGGGTTTGAGGACAGCATGGTTTCCACTCCATGGCAAGATGTCATCTTCTGACCATTTGGGCTTTGGTTTCTCCTGATGAGATCTGTATCTGATGATTATGAAAAACTACCTTAAAAACAGGGAAAGATAAAAAGCTGATATAAGAGAGCTGGGGAGCAAGGGGTGGGCATGTCCATGCATTTAACGCAGGGCCAAAAATAGAGTATGTGATTTGCTATGATTTGCTTGAGCGATAACGGTGCTTTGACGTGTAACTGATAGTGAATGGTATATTTGAATCAAGCCACATCTGATGTGAGAGTGTTGACACATTAATAGTCTCGAGAGAAAACAGAAGGAATTGTGTAATTAAGGGGAACGCCCCATGCGAGATGTGAGGATGTACATGAACACCTCAGGGCTGCTGGTAATTAATTAACTGAAATAATAAAGAAAATGGGGCAGAAAACATATTTATCACATACTTTTAGTCATGTTGGCTCTTTGATTTCACAGAGACAAAGTGAGTCTGTTAGCTTATGCCCAGGATCTCAAAATAATTTTAGCCCATTGGCTACATTTAATATTATCAATTTGGATCTCACCTATCCAAATCTTTCCTTTACGCTGAATTAAAAGAAGGGCAAGTTCACTCTGAAAATGCTCACATTTAATGAACCATCTATCTACAAACTGATGAAAGGCTTGACATGTCTTCAGAAAAAAGGCGGATCATATATCTTTGCTTTTTTTGTTTATTGGCATATGCTTTAATTATAGAGAGTCGTAAATCCAAAAGCATCGGCACGCCTCCTTAAGTATCTTCACTTTTGGATGGCGCGCAATAGGTAATGTCTTCGTGACTCTGGCTTGGATAAATCTATCATGGGATGAGCCATTTTTAATGGCTTACAATATTTCCTGGAACAAAGTAAGTGAAAAGTCCAAGTCATATTTAAAGCTGTCCAGTGGATGTCAAAACAATGTCCCAACAAATTCACCCCAAGATTGGAGCATTGGAGCAAGACTGTGCATTGTTCAGAGAAATTTAAAAAAAAATTCAGACACAGCACAACTAGAAAAAGACTGAACAAGTATGGCTTGAGTGGAAAAGTTGCTAGGAAAGACTCTTCTCTTAAAAAAGAACATGGCAGCACGGATTAGGTTTGCAAAGTCGCATTTGAACAAACCACAAGATCTCTTGAAGAATATCCGTTGGAAAGATGAGACCAAAGTGCAGATATCTGACCATAGTGCACGAAATCAGACACAGGTTATCAGCACAAACACCTCATACCAGCTGTCAAGCACAGTGGTTGAGGAGGGATGATTTGGGCTTGTTTTGCAGCCAGAAGGTCTGGGTAATTCCTCTGTATACCAAAGTATTGTAGCCACAAATGTGAGGCCATCTGTTTTGGCTGAAACCGGATCCTGCATGTATCAGCAGTTTCATCTAGCACTGTAAAATATAATACCAGTAGAACTCTTCCCATCAGCAGCAATATGCAACTTACTTAACTTCTGTGTGCCACGAGTTTCCCATTTGAAGGCTAAAGTATTTGATTTATTGATTGTTTCTTTTAGACGTTCTGTGCCACAGACTGGGAAATGTTCCAGATTGACAGCAGAGTTTTTTTGGTTGTTGCCAATGGACACAGACTCCATGGTAATGGACCGAGTCAGTACACCATTAACTCCACTATCTATGAACTGGACATGAGTGCACAGCTGTTTGTCCGCTTCCAGGACATTGTCACCTACAGGTATAGATGTTCAATCACCAGATAATATTTACCAGGTGTACGCACACTCAGAAACATTTTCTTGATGCGTCTGCTGTCATTTTATCTGTTCATTATCTCCACATACCTTCCTCTTTCTTTCCAGTGCAGTGGATTGGGAGTTCTTCAGCCTCGGGCAGGAATATTTTCTGGTTGTTGCTAACTCCTTCAATGGAGAATCCTACTCTCTCAACAGCATTCTCTACAGGTATTCAACTTGTCAACAGCACCCCTCCCAATGTGAAATAAGTCCACCTTATTGCCTTTTGGTATCCGCCTTGAAACCATCTCAAACATCACACACACACAATTCTAATATTGATTTATTATCTTACCGTGAGAGCAGATGGAAATACTGCACTAATGGGATTCATCTTTTCTGTTTTGCTTTTAGGTGGCAGGGATATGAAGGATTCGTTCCTGTTCATTGGCTGCCAACGATCGGGTGCAGTGACTGGGAATTTTTCAGTGCTAAAGGAGAATCATATTTAATCTACTCCAGTGCGAAGGCACCACTCTCCAAAGTGTTCATGCTGAAAACCTACTAGACAAACAAACAAAAAAAGTGTGGCTTTGTGTCCTGCATTTGTGTAATTGTACACAATCTATCACGTATGAAAATAATTTGCAAAAGGTCATTTAAAAAGGTCATTTAATGGTTAAATTAATTATTGAAATTTTATTGACTTTTTAAATTATTGTCTGCTCAGAAATTCCCTCAGGGTGTTGGCTGGGGTACCTTTGCAGTGATCAGCCCTGCATACAGTCACCCTCCGCACAGTGATATGTTAACAACTGATGTACCTCATTTTAACACAAAAAAATCACATGGACCAAATAAAGTCTGTTTTTAATATCTATTTGTGTGTATCTTGTGACAAAACTTAGTACAAATTTCTATATACTCTCTCTCTCTCTGTAAGAGCATTGTGTTTTGATATTATTTTGTTTACTAATTGTAATATGTTTTCTTAAATAGAAAATTGTATTGTTTGTTGTTATATTTTGCCTCTGGCTGCATGAATTGTATATGAAAAGTGATAGTAAATTATTGAAATTTAAATAAACTATAATTATTGTGTTTATGTATGGAATAAGAGTTGTTTATACCAACAGATAATGTTGTTTAATATTTGAATGATGATTTATTGCAGTTTTTTGTGTAGCTAATCATTTATTTGGTACAGTTTCCTTAGACAAATAATTACCCATTGAGCTCTGACACTCACAAGATGTTGGTCTATAAAAGACTACAAATCACATAATACATTCTTAACCTCAAAGCATAGACTTGCCGGAATTGTAGTTTTTACACAAAATTATTTTGCTGTAATCAAAACGTAGATATGAAACGTGGGCTTTATCCATACCTGTATCATAAAATTACATAAAATCGCAGAAATTAAACTGGTTAATTATGGAAAAGAGCTTCAGTTACTTTCACTGTTGTGTGCGCATTAACCAAGCTTGGTACTACAAGAACCATAATGCATCATTTCATTCTCGGTCAGGAAGAAACATGGCTGCTCACTGTTCAACGACGGTATTTTTATTTACGTTTCGTTTGTTTTCTGCTTTACGACAAACAGAAGAAGAAATGGCTTATTTTGGTAGGGATTCTGAGTAAAAGTTAAATAATAAAAACTGTTAGAGTTTCATTAAGGCGACGTTGTTTCCCCAGTCGTTGTGACACAGTTCCCGACAGTGTGATTTTTTTTTTTCTTTTCAATTTTCGCTGAGCTGTCAGCTGCTCGTTGGTGTCGGTGCTTTGCTAGCGTGCTGAGCTACCCAAACGACTGCAAATTTCATCCGGTACTAGCCGCAATGTTTAGTCCCGTAAAGTCTTCTTACTTCAGAGTCAGTCCGGCCATTGTCAACAGAGAACTCGGCAAAACCAAGATGAGATAGCAAGAGGGCACGTCGGAGTGCTAACACACGATTTACTGCAAGGCTGAACCCCAGCATAAGCGAGACACAACGGAGTAATAACCAAACAAACCCCCTAACGCAGCATGTTTGGGAATCTATTTGAGGAGGAGGAAGAGGAAGGCTTCTCTTCGACTTCCTCCAAGGGAAGAGTTTCAAAGATGGGAGATGAGCCACCTCCACCTCGAGGAAGAAGCAATCTGTGCGGCATCAAAAACCAGGGAGGGACCTGCTATCTGAACTCTCTGCTCCAGACCCTGCTCTTCACCCCCGAGTTCAGAGGTGAGGACAAGTGATCCTCCCTCCAGTACAGCTCATAATAATAAGGGGACAGTTGTTGCTTCTTTTTTGTTTAACATATTTGTTTTTGTTTAACATATTTGTTTTGTGGTGTGTGTTTGCAGAGGAGCTGTTCAGTTTGGTGCCAGACGAATTAGGATCCCTGGAAGACAAAGACAAACCAGAGGCTAAAGTATGTGTATGCATGGTTAATGTAGGTGCAGTCTCCATGGGTCTTTTTTTTTTAAAAAGTTAATGAGGTTTGTTCTTCATCTCCTCAGGTCAGAGTGATCCCATTGGAGCTTCAGAGGCTCTTTGCCCATCTGTTGCTAGTGGACCAGCAGAGTGCTTCCACTGCCGGCCTTACTGACAGCTTTGGCTGGAACAGCAGTGAGGTATGTGCACTTTATTTGCTTCATGGAGGAGGAGAAAGAGGGGCTTGATTTACATGTCTAATTTAAGTGATGGAATTACCCACCAGTAATGTCAATTACTAGAGAACAGGCAACCACAGTTGTAAGAGAGTAAACCTATAACAGACCAAAGCTTGTACTTTTCATGTCTTTATTGAACACGCTGAATGATTCCTCACAGTGGAGGCAAGACGTGTTCTTCCAACACATTTCTGGGACTCATTGTTTGCGGCTGCTGTGCTACTTCAAGGCCCGGATGCCTTGCAGTAAGTTGAGGAAACAATGGTAGATCAATACCTTTTACAGGAGACTGTCGGGATAGGGAGGTGCATGATCTCAGGAGATGTTGGTTGATGCACCAGGACAATGAGTCATCAAAACATATAAACTGACAAAAGAATGCTTTGGCACAGTTCTTTTTTCTTTGATCCAAAATTCTTCTTCAGTGTCTCTACAGTTACAGGAAGTGGGCTGTTTTTCATACTTATTACTTGGTACAGTCAGTAAAGACATGACAACTATTTGTAGGTTATTAGTTTAGTCAGGTAGTGTCTGTCCATAATTACACAATCCACATTTACGTAGCTCATGGCACATAGTTACCCCTTTGTTTACATAAATCCTACCTGGAACCACCACGAGTAGACGGAACAGGGAAACTTAACAAGGAACCAAAGGCCTGTTTGAGAATATAATGAAAGTTTCCGGGCATCACCCATGCAAACAATAAAAGTAGTTATGTGATCTCAAAAGGATTTTCTAATCAGCTAAAAACATCTGTTATAGTGTTGTTTATTTACTACCTAATTGTTTATGTCACACTTTGGGTTAGCTCGAAGTATTGTTAAAAGTAATAACTGTCCTTTAGTGTCGTGTATCAATGATTTGGGCTTCTGGTGGTGTGGGGGATCCTTGGCACACTTTTGATCCTTTCTTTTGGGTTCCTTAGTACCAACTGAGCGTTGTTTAAACACCACAGCCTATCTGAGTATTGTTAATAATCATGTCCATATCTTTATGACAGCAGTGTACCCATCGTCTAACGGCTGCTTCTGGCAGGATTACGTGCCAGGTCAATAAGCTAAAATCATTTCAAACTGTTTTTTCGAACATGGTAGTGAGTGCACTGTACTCAAATGACCCCCACAGTCACCAGATCTATAGATTAAATAGATCACCTTTGGGATGTGGTGGAACAGGAGATTTTATCATGGATGCACAGCCAGCATATCTGCAGGAACTGTGTGTCGCCATCATCTCATGTGGTCCAGAATGTCGGAGGAATATTTTCAGCAACTCGTTGAATCAGTGGCGTGAAGAATTAAGGCAAAAGTAGGTCCAACCTGGTACTAAAAACATGTACCTAATAAAGTGGTATATATTTACTGGAAGGGAAGCCGTGGATCTTAATTGAATGCAGATTTTACTTAACCCTAACCCTAACCCTAACCCTGTCTGTAGTTGCTGGGCAGCTAGCTGTCTGACATCAGTCTGATAGGAAATACTTACTGAAGTTAAACTCCAGAATCAATTGCAAATTTAAGGATAATCTTACATCAATATTTCATAATTGGACAATATAAACACCACCATTTGCCTCCATAAAAATACTACTCAGTCTGTCCTGTAGCTTCGCTGTCCTCAGATTCAACTTTGCCTCTTGTTTTTCCACTTTTGTGGACCTAACAATCTAATTCTGTGTACGTGGGACAGTTAACAGAAACTAAATTTTAGACACACTAACTTTTATCAGCCCACGACTGGAATTCCATTTTGTCTGGAGCCTGTTCAGCTGCCTACAAGCAAAATTAATACAATAAGAAAGAACAGAAAGAAACAGAATTTGCCACAGGGCATGCAAACCACATGTTCAAGTGAAAACTGTACATTCTGTGATATGTTTAAACTTGAAGCAGTGCTCTAAAACCTTTGAAATATGACGTGCTGGAGAGATCATTCGCGTATTCGGGTAAAAATGTTGGAAAAAAAGTTGCTGTGTGTTATTTACTGATTTAAAATAAAGAGTGACTTGCTATCGTCCTTACTTACTACAGTTTTAGTGCAGTTTAAAATATACTGTATATGTTGAAGTCATAAAGATTTAAAGCTTTAAATGTACCTGTAGGGTCCAACAGACATATAAATTAACATTATTATTCTTTTATTGTCACTGATGTTTTGGTATTTTTTCAACTTACAAACCATAATGCAGAAATAATTTAGAAATGATGTCATCCATAGTTTTTACACAGAAACTTGTGATATTAGTGTTTACAGCACTGGTCACTGTCTGCAGCAGAGTAGCATCGCAGCTGAGGACGCTGCAAAGACAAGCAACGTATTTATGTTGTGTTGAAAACAACATGAAACAGATTGCCTTAAAACTTAATGAGCAAGCATCCCATTGTTTTTCTTTTCATTTCTCAGCATCATCTCACAAAAACACAGGGTTACTTGTGTATATTGAAAAAAATAAATTAGCATCAACAATAATACAAGTAAATGTAATAAATATATAAGGCAGGGGGCAGAAATGTAAACACTGAATCTGCTAAGAGGTTTTACTAAGGCTGGATTGAATCTTATTTATTTATTTATAGCTAGTATTGGATCTGTGGCACATTTTTTTTTGTTTGTTCCTAAATTGATTCTTTTTCTGTTGTCACGTTGTTGTTGTTGTTTTTAAGGGAACAAATCAGCATGATGTGCAGGAGCTGAACAGGATTTTGTTCAGTGCATTGGAGCACTCTCTTGTGGGCACCAGTGGCAGTACATTTATTCACCGTCTCTACCATGGAACCATTGTCAACAGTATCGTCTGCAAGGAGTGTGGAAATGTCAGCCAGAGACAGGTGTGTGCAAACCCAAACTCATGACATTACAGAACACGATGCAATAAAATGCGTCTTAAATGCAAAGAGAAAAATAATCAATGAACCTAATTTGTTTGTCTTCTTCAGGAGGACTTTCTGGACCTGACAGTGTGTGTTTGTGGTCTGCCTAGTCTGGAAGACGCTTTGTGGAACATGTTTGTGGCAGAAGAGCTGTTTGAGGGCAATAACCTGTACCGCTGTGCACAGTGTGACAGACTGGTCACTGCTGCCAAGGTCAGTGCCAATTTTCAGACAGCGTAAATACAGCAGTGAAGAATACAATGCAGTAAACATTTGTACTTTTTTACCATGCTCGACATTACAGTGATTTCTTCCA